TGACTTAAATAAAATAACTTCAATGATCATAATAATAGCAATAAATTTTGGCATACTGTACAACTTTGCAATTTACTTTTTCCAATGAAGTAGATTTAGAGGTTCATTAATTACCATTTACTAAATATTATTCTCAGTGCCTGGGTTATCTCATTGGCTTAAACAAACATAGAAAGGCTGCCTTCGTATAGCCTAGAATCTATTGGGTGGAGACAGACAATAAAAAATTATAAAAATGTAAAATTTAGGCTGGATATGGAAGCTCATGCCTATAATCCCAGATATGCTGGAGGCTAAGGTAGGAGGTTTGTGATCCTAGACTAGCCCAGAAAAACACTCCAAGACCCTAACTAAAATGAAAAGGGCTGAGGGTGTGGCTCAGGTGAATGACATTTTAAATTACACATGTCAGGAAGTAGGTGCAATGGGACAGCAAAGCCGTGTAAGACAGGTAGCTGAGGATGCTAGCAACTGTAGAGAGGCAATACCAGTTACACTATGTAATGGGTGAGCAGACTGGCCATGCCAGAGAGGGGGCTCTGTGCACAGATCTGGAGGAATCAGACATTGGGGTATCTAGAAGACTTGTCCAGGGAAACACCCAACAAAGAAGAGAGATGTGGCTTCTGTTCATGTTGCAGGAACAGCAAAAAGGACTAATGACAGCTGTGCTGCAGGCAGTGGTGGAGCAGAGGTACAAGCCACTGACAGACTAGGGAGGCCAGGTCCTATGGCTGGGTGGGCATTGGAAGGACTTGCAGTGTGTCCTCTGAGGAAACAAAAAGATTCTACAGAACAGAACATTTAGTTGTCAGCCCTGCTGGGTTGAGTTGATTAGAGTCACAATTTGTCTGATGCTTCATAAAAGTCAGCCTGACAGCTCTGTTGAGAGAGACAGAGGAGTACAAGCTTGGAACTAGCAGCCCTGACCAGGTTCCAGGTGACACTGAGTCTGCTCATAGCAATGGCAAGGGCTATATCACAGACAGCAGCATTTGGAAAGGAGACACAACCACATTTCCTTAATATGCAAGGTGTGGGAAAAAGAGTAGTCAACAATAAGATTCTTTGAAATTTTTTCCACAAAATGTGAAGAAGCTTTTAAATTGTTTTATGACATAGGCTCACAGATGTTCTTGCTGGGCCAGGGATGGGGAATATGGGGGGGAGGAGAGAGAGGGGGAAGGGATTACATGTTAAAAATACTGCTTTCTTCTGTTTCACAAAAAACAAATGGTCTAAACAAATTGACCCTTTAAAGTAAATCTCAAGAGAATACTAGCAAATGTTTTGTGAAATTCAATACATGTTCCATACCTTCCCAAAGCTGAGGGTACACACAGGAAAATAATTTTCTAACTAAAAATGAGGGTGGGAAAGGTTATGATGAGTGTGGTTATTTGCAGACGTTGCAGCCATGCTATATGCGTTGTGGAAAAACATATAAATGTTCCTGTTAAATGTAATGGTTTACACTTAAAACCTTAAGCAGAATTCCCTAAAAATTAGAAGTTTTCCAAATAAAGTGCATCATGTACTTTGCGTTAATTTCTTCACTCTTTGATTCTGGTGAATTTTTATAATGAAATAGTAAAATAATTGAATTTAATACTAAATGTTTGAAATGCTAATGCATAAAATGTTCAAAACATTTGTTGATCATTGTTTTGAAAGGTAGGTGATTGAAATTTTCCTCCTCCAAATGCATTACCTAATTTGTCTGAAAACAGTCATGAACTGCCTTCTGACTCCTCTTATTAAATACTTTCACACTTTTGTAAATTAACTTAAAAAATAGTCTCTCTTCCCATTTATAAAAATCTTCTGCTTCACGGATCAATTAACGCCCTTGCCTTCCCTGACCTCACTGCACTGCCCATCCACCTCTCCTCTGAGCTCTCAAGCTTTAGACCTTACTTTTTATTTTTGCATAGCGGTTCTTTCACCTTCTATTCCATAATTTTTCCTCTCCTAGGTCTCAGTTCCTTCATTTTCTAAATAAAGGCATTATGTCCTCTAAATCTTAAAATGTTATCATTCTAATAATAGTCATGAAAATAACAACAGTTCAACTAGATTTTTTGTGTGTGTGAGGTACTGAGATATGAACGCAGGGCCCTGCAAGTCTACTGCTGTGCTGCCCTACTTTTCCTGCTGTTAGTAGTAGCTTGAGTAGTACTCAATGGTGTTTAATATTCACCAGGTACAGATATTTACTATGTCATCTAATATTAACAATCACTTTTAGAAGAAGGTATCATTAATGTTCATTTTGTTAAAGAGGAAACCTGGCCAATAAATTTCCTAAGGTATTTTATTACTATTTGAAATGAAGGAGTTAAGATTTGATGTCAGCTTCAGTCCACATGCTTCTCAGCAGGACGCTTGCTTCCTCTCATAGGTTCTGTACTAAGACTGTGCTGTTTCTAAAGATGAAACTGCAGGTATCTGATCCCCTAGGGGCTTATTCCCACCCTCCAAATGAGAAAAGTCCCAAAAGGGTGTTTCTTTTATATGAAGCATACTCAAAAGGGCAACATGTCCGTAAATTATCAGAAATTACCAGCAGGAAGTATCTCTGAAGGGTAGAGAAGTTCCCATGTTGGGAAGGAACACAGACTCAAATTCCAGCAGCCCTGCTCATTGGCTAGATGACAACTGACAACACAGAGACTCAGTTTCCTTACCATCAACCTGTGGATTGAGGGGTACCCACATGGGATAGTACTTATGAATGGCCTGCTGAAGACAAAATCACCTGGTAAAGTAGAAATTTCTATTCAAATACTTGATACTTAAAGTTACAAAGCTCATTTTATTACTGTATTCTTACAATTGATTGACAATTATTATTGTTGCTTTTGTTTACATTGAGTTACTCTATCTTTAACATTTTAAAGACCTAAGGATATTCTATTTTAAGTTGCATGCAAAATAGGCTATTATAATTACACATAGATCAAGTTTGTTGTATAAAGGACACAATTATGAAAAATCAAAGAAATCTTATTGCTTTGTTGTTAGTGCAGCAAAAGATGATAGCTCTTTTGAAGGTACATGAACAAATTTAAATGAAACAGCTGGCATTCATTCAAATACAATTAAAAAAATACCAGGATATCCCTTAAGCAATTAAGGTACTTAATTACCTTAATAACACAATGTCTGGGATAGTTGTGCTAAGTTAAAGCAACAACTAAGGTTATCATGCAAAATTCCATTTCTCTTCAATTTTTCTCCTTCTGTATCCTCAAACTGTTAGTTTTTCCTCTTTATGTTTATTGTTTCATAGCCCCAAAATAGCTTTGGAAATTGGAGGCTTAATCTCCTCATATGGCAGCATTCAGGCAGGTAGTAAGGGAGAGGCACAAGGACTGCCCCTCCTACTGTTGTCTTGGTTGATGAAAAGTAATATCATTCTCAGAAATCCTGGGTCATATTAACCTTTACAATACTGAAACTCGAATAGGCCAAGTGGCTGCTCCATACTCTGGAAGACTACAAACATTAGTATCAGCCAAAGGTAAGTGGAATTAGTTGTTGGAGTAAGCTGGTGTTCACCCACAGAGTAACAATTTTACCCAGCAGATCCATAAGTCATACTATGGCCTCATTAGCAAGGGAGAAAGAGACAAAGATATCCATAGAAAAATGCTTAAGGAGGTTTTTTCAGAAGTTCCTTAATTGTTTTAATAATGCATGAATACTGAGGATTTCAAATGCATAGTAAGGTTTTAGAAAATATGTATTAGTAAGTCTAAATTTCCAACATTTAAATTAAAATAAAAATTTCCATATGTCTGATTACAAATTTAATTTACTTACTACATACCCACTGAGAAGACTGTAGCACCTGGACAATTCTCTAAGGCTATTCAGCAGAATTGAGAAAAAATGCTTTCATTATTGGATAAAGTTTGTTTTATTGAATACAATTTATTTTATGTTATAAAATTAGAAAATATATATAAGTAACTACCACAGGAAATTACTTTTAACAGGTGTTAGCTGTTGTAATATAAATAGCTTAAAATTAAGGTGAGTAAATTCCTGGCAGCAAATTTTCTAGGGGTTGTGTTTTAAGTAAGTGGTTACTATTGTAAATATTAGCAGAAAATGTGAATTTACCAGACCTAGTGAAGTACAAAAACTATTGCGTCTTTTCCTTTCTGTTTTTTCAGATTTCTCATTAAGGAAATTAAATTAGGTGACCAGTCATTAGAGTTATAACCATATATCAGATTTTTGGTGTTTTAATGTTATGTGTTCTCAATTTCCATGATCACATGAAGATGGTGAAAATTAATAATACAAACGTAATTTTCACTTGTGTTCAATTCTGTGCTAAAATGAGCATATTAATCTTTTTTATCTTGAATTTCTAAATGGCTTATGCTCCTTGACTCCGAATTTACTGTTCAAAACTGCAAATAATGAACAAAACATGTTTGAGCAAAGGGTGAAATTTGCAGATTAATCAAACAGGGGCTTAGAAAATTAGACCACTGGCAAAATAAAATTGTAATGTGACACACAGCTCTTCATAGTTCCTGGGATCTTCCATAATTTCCAATCTTGCTTTAAACTAATTCTTCGGTCTGAAAGCTTCCTTTTTTTTAAAAAAAAATTTTTTTTATAAAGTATTTTTAGATCCAGTAGATTGAAAAGTACTAGAAAAATCTACACTGTTGTTAGTCCTTACCTCACCTCAGCCCATAGTTTTTTTTTTCTTTTCTCCTTTTATTTTATCATTTTTACATTTACTTACACGTGTATGCATTGTTTGTGCCACATCCCCTCCATCATGCTTCCGGACATACCTGTTCCTCCCTCTTCTTCTCTGATTTTGTTGAAGAGAAAACATAAGAGATAATAAAGACATATTGTTCTTGGTAGTTTGTAATAAAGATAGCTATACAGAGAGATTCCTAGCATTGCTTCCATGCACTTGTGTACTGCATCCTTTATTCTTTATTTTATTCAATTCCTCTTTGTTGCAGGCAGTGATCACAGACCCCGTTCCAGTGAAGCTACACTATGATAAATCACATGACCAGGTGTGGGTGCTAAGCTGGGGCACCATGGACAAGACTTCACCCACACTCCAGGTAAGTAAGTCATGGTGGATTTAGCAAGCGGGGTCTTTAAACATCTGGGTGTCTCACTGGATATTTATAACCAGTTGACAAGAATATTCTTCCACCTGCAGTTTTAATCACTACTACATCTGTGTGGAAAAGGAAAAAAAGAAAAAGCTTAAGTACTCTTTTGGGTTGTAAAAAAGAATAATTGATGGTAACAAAGTTGCTGCCATTAGAAAAAGAAAAGTAATTTATTTAGTTTATCATAGTCTGTCTTCTTTTGCTATAACAGAATTCCTGAGACTGAGTAATTTCTAAAGCATAGAGGTATCCTTTGACTTATAGTTTCAAAGCTTTGAAGTCAAAGTGCATGCCAGCAGCTTCTGGTGATGGCCTCCTTGCTGCATCAAAACAGGGCAGAGGGCATCACATGACAAGATTTAGCATGGAAGCCAGAGAAGACTTACTTGTGTAAAAAAGCCACTCACTCAAATAGACGACCATTCATTCATGAATAGATACATGCATTGACCTCCTAATCTGCCAATCACCTCCCCAAATTTCCCTCTCAACTGTGCTGTTGCAGGGGCCAAGTTTTCAACATGTGAACTTCTGGAGGACACATTAGGTTTCAGCATTACCTTTCAACAGCTTTGGTGGGGCTATGCGATAGAGAACAGGAGAACTAATTAGACAGCAAGAGCTTCAAAGTAGATCTCCATTTCTTTCCAAATGTATAGTATTTTTATTATATGTGCACAGGCTGATGTTTAATTGGAGAATATTCTGTGTTATTCTTGTGATATTTGCTTCTGCTTTGAAGTTGTTTATCTGAGAACTTCACAGACACAGAAAAAGAAAAATATGCATTTTGATCATGATGACCCTTTGGCACAATCTTTCGATTTTTGCTGTTATAAATTTAAGAGGAAACAGAAAGGAAGTTGAAAGAAATGTTTAGCTTTGAAAGTGTGTTTCAGACTGTTTCTCAATGTGCTTTTTGATCATACCACTGGCTTGAATATGCCTTTCCTTACAAGGCCCTAATCATTTGACCATTTTCAACAAAGTATGTGGGATGCAATATTTTTGTTTTCAGTCACTCATCACTAACAATATTCTTAGTGTTTCTGAATTACTTTCAAGTGTTGCAATATTTAATTCACAAATGACAGACCAATTGGAATGAAGTATTTAATTAGCTACCACATGATGGCTCATTTTATATTCACTAGAAATATGTAACATCTTAATCTTTTGAAATACAATACAGTACCTCAGTTATCTATTTTGTAAATGAATCAACAACAAAATTTGATGTCTTAAATCGAATTCAAGAGCGATTTATCCATAGCAGTTCTGTGTGGGTGTGATTTACATGAAAACAATTTTTTCATGTAAGTTATGTTAATGCTGTTACCTTTAAATTATCTTAAAGCTTAACAAACTTTAAAAAGCTTAAAATTTTAACAATTTTTGTAAAAAAGTGAAGTCTCATATTTTCAATGTACTATAATGCTTCATAATCAATCCCTTCCTTCTCCTTTGATCCTTTTACTTGAATAGATTAAAAACTTTAGAACTATTGACAATACTTCCATGAAATTATTTAGATAGACTTTTTACTGTTATACAGATCCCACCAAAACAAAAAGACTTTCTAGAGATCTTAAGTAACTTCACACACATTATGTAGCCATATAAGAGTGAATGAATTTTCTCAGAATGACTAGCAAAAAAAGTTTAGCCTAATGGAATGTAGAAAATTTTAGAAATATTTACTGAGTGGAAGCACAAGCATCATATCTGAAAATGCAAAACAAATGTAGAAATTGAGAATTATCATCAAAATAGTTCGTATAAAAAAGGTTATTTACATACAGTTTGATAGGATGATTAGATAGACGATAGATGAATAGCTTGCTAGCTAGCCAGATAGACAGACAGATAGACAGATAAACTGACAGAACCGAAAGTCTCTGGATGAGAGAATAGACTCTATTATTGTCATGGAGCTGGCTAGTTTGTTTCCCAGCTTTATCAACATTGAGTCACATGGTGAGAGACTAATGCACCTCTTCCCATGCAGCATGATTGCACTATCAGGGCAACCATGGAATTACACACTAAGGTTTTTAGGCTTCTGGAGACATGAAGATCATAGCTCTGGAATGTACATAATCTTCTTGGGAGAGAAGGAGCAGATCAGTGGCTGGAATGTCAGTAATAAAGTGATAAATCTCAGCTCTCTCAGGAGCAATTCACCACCACTAGCCTCTGAAGCCCTTTTGTCATCCTTTAACTAGGGTTGTCAATGCCCTTTACTCAGAAAAGCCTGACTCTGCAGAAATGTCAAAATATTCATGGATAATTGCTTCCCAACAGGATTATCAGGAAAGGCAGGCAAAGGAAATGGATTTAAGATATTTTTGAAAAGGGGAACAAATACTCCTTTGAAGAAAATGAACTTATGAAACCAAAGCTACAGGCTAGCCCTTATTTTGGTTCTAGTGTTCTTTTGCCCTATTGGTAAAAGAATAGAGTAGGAAAAAAGTTTGATGCCAGGCTGTGAGGGCTAAATATTTTTTTATACCATTACAGTGTATTTTACAGAGGCACCCACTGACTCAGGAAAGTGAAAAGGCATTTTCTCAAGAATAGAAAAGCTCTCCTTAAATTTCCATTTTGTGTTTTTATTTCAAACATTTTTGCTAATTTTGAAATCAAAGTAAATAATTTTGTGATATTTATCATTAACTAATAAAAACCCATACTGTTATAATTTTAGGTATGTATGACAGTAATTTTACATGTAGTGTTCCTATGTGAATTCTCAAAGTTTTATCATAGCTATATTTTTCTTTTCAAATGACATCTATGCTTTATGAAATTTTAAGAATTGCTATACTAAAAGTCATGATGATTGTGTTTTCAGTAGTTTTATAATCAGTATATAATGTCTTTTCAAAAGCACAGTAATTAGAGAATATTCCTATTGAGAGACTTAGAAGACAGTACTTCCATTTTGGTCCTAGTTAGGAAGTCAGTCTCAGTGTAAGTGGCAGCTCTGGGTTTGTGGAAGATATCACACAGAAAGAGCCCAGAGCAGAAACTGGAAATGAACACGATTGTTGAAAGATTGGGCTCACTAAGTTCAAAATAGAAGTGTGTACCTTTGAAAGCAATTATTTCAGTCGTGAACCTGACAGTCCACCCTGACCTACTCAATTCTGGCAGTGTGAAGGACCTGGAACCATTAGGGAACAAGGTCCAGACTGAAAAGAACTAGGGATGTGGCACCAGTTTTACTATGACCCAGGATTGTGATGAGCAGGGCCCAAAAACAGCCTAGCAAATACACCTGAGTGGGAGGAAATGAGTTTGCACTTATCAGTACAGTTGGTGTGGTAATGCATACATTATGGCATTGCTTGAATACTAAATTTTGTGATCCTGCAGTCTACTTGGAACACACATTGGCACATAGCAAGCCCTCAGTAAGTATTACTGCTGTTATTAGTCTAAGTTTTCTTAATTTCCAATACGTGCAGCTGTATTTTGAGATGTATTTACTGCTATACTTCCAAGGGGGAATTTTTTGGAGAGCTCCCTCCATGTTATTGTTGATCTTTAATAAACCACTGTAGGCATTTTTATGAATATCTAATATATAGAAAGTGTCTTTTTAGCTAAAAACCTTGCTTCTTCCCTCTTCTGGGTACATGGTTAGGTAGAGCCATGGAGAACCTTCAGTGACAAGAGTAGATATCCTGCCTAAGCCCCAGGAAATAGACGTGGAGAACAAATCTTCCATTTCTAAGCTACTAAGACTTTAAGGCCGAGTTTCTGTTTTACTTATTTTAACCGTGACTAGGTTAGCTTATTCTGTTATGATCATTTAGTTTCAATGAACATGGGAATTTTTAATGGAACTAAGTTTTTAGAAATAATAAAATTTTATGTACTTCTGTCATTAAAAACCAAAGTAAAAAATATAATCTTGAGAGAGCATTATTATTTAACTTAATAATTAATCATTATCAATAATTAATAACAATTAATAATTATTAATATTAATTATTAATATTTAATTGTTATTAATATTAATTATTATGTTAAATAATAGTGCTCTCTCAATATTATAATAATTAATTATTAAGTTAAATAGTTAATAGTCAATAGTTTAGGAAGTTAATTTGGTGGTCAGGTGTAGAAGTATTTAAAACATAAGGTTTGAAGGCAGGAAAGAAAGAAATCCCTTTGAAAGGCTAACACAGAACAGCAGCTGTGGCTTCAGTGACAGCAACAAGGTTTTAAAGCTAAATGTTACATATGATTTATTTTGGAATTTACCTGACTATATTGCCAGCTTTGCTCTATAGAGGAATTTTTTTCTGATACCTGATTTATATCACCCGTATGCTTGTTTTTATTTTCCTCATTAAACAACATTAGCAATTTTATAAGAGAGAATTTGCTTATGTATGTAAGTGTCTAGGTGATGGGGATATGTTCTGAGAGATGCACACTTAGGAGACTGCTACCTTGTGCAAATCTTACATATTGTACTTGGAAAAACAAAGACAGCTACAGTCTCACCAGCTATAATAGCTTTTGCAAAATCCAAGACAGCTACAATGCCACCAGTGTCTAGGCTGTGTTTGGGGTTTGTTGTTGACTGGAAGGTTTTTATGTGGCATATGGCACATAACACATGACTGTATTTTGTATTTTAAGCATAATTTTATGAAGGCACATATTTTCCACTTTTTTATAGAACAAAAAGTTTCCATATTGAAAAATAACAGATGATTGCAAATTATAGTTGGCTTAATTACTAATTTTGAGGAAGATAATAAAGAGCCTATACAAACAAGTATAGGAAAAATTATCTCTAAATAAAATGAAGCCTCATAGTATTAAGAAAATGCACCACTCATGACTAAGCATGGCGTGTTGTGTTTAGGTAATAACCCTGGCCAGTGGTAATGCGCCTCACCACACCATCCATACCCAGCCAGTTGGAAGGCAATTTGACAGAGTGGACAATTTTTTCATTCCCACCACAACGCTCATTATCACCCATATCAGGTAAGTGCTAAGTTGAATGACCAACTTGTTAAGATTTCTCTCTAATTTTAATAAAAGACACATAAATTATAAAACAGTTTAGTTATAAAACAAATACAGAGATATAATTGCACATGATTAATTTTATGTCATCTGCTTGTTGTACTTTTATTTATCAATGTTAGTGATGGATTTCACATTGGATGTTTCTTTTCATGCCTAATAGGGAACTGAATTTATCAAGGTTAAATTGTACTTGTTATTCTTATTAATGTTAATTGATAATCTTTTTAATATTTTTCTAAGTTGTCATAAGGGTCCTTTTTCCTAGGTTCTTGCAAAATGCTGGCATTTCTTGAAAAAAATAAATGAATTAAATGGTGGAATCTCTTCTCAAATTGGGAGAATGTGTATTGAACTGGGCATGATGAAACAGCCACAGCCATAGAAGTCTACTCAGGATATTTTTATAACACTCTTGTGTGATTGTTTGCTCATCCTGAAATTCATATAAAATTGTACTGGGAAGTACAGTGAGTTGTTATGTAATTTTTGAGGTCTTCATTTAATTTATTTGGTCAGACATGTTGGTGTTTTCCATTTCTCTATGTATTTGCAAGAAGTGAAAAAGTACTATTAACTCCTACTGCTGTCACTTCAGGGCTTCACAGCAGGGGTCAAACACTTGCCTGAAGGTGAGTTGGGCACTATGGCAGCACACATTTGGGGCCATGTGTGATTCTGTGTTCATAGGTGTAATCGGCATGTTGTCAGAACACTGCTGCTCCAGATTCTGTATGCTCATTACTCAGATGCAGTGGGTGCTATGACCAAATAGAAGGCACAGTTTTATTTAACTATTTCTACATGTCATGAAAAAGGCTGAACATCATGATCCTGGATCGTTCTGAGTATCTCTGTTTCTTTTAATGATATGTAGTGAAATACACGAGGGTCTAACCAGCACTTTGTAAGTATTTAATTTACTGATAATAAAAATTAAATTATACCAATCCCATCTGCACAAAAAACCATATTTTAATAAACAAGAATGATCATCAAATTTCCTATCACAGCTCTAAGTAATTATTCCCTATTACTTCATTGAAGACTAAAAATTGACATACATCTCAAAAACTAAGCTGTTAGTTATATAAAGAATAATTAGTGTTCATTCCACATCAGGAACATCTGAACTACAGATCTGGTCTTTTCTCCTACTAACTTCACCTACTCTGCTTCTAACCAAATTTGTAATGTGTACAAATATGTATAGCTAGGATTGAATTTTTATTAACTGTTTTTCAGAATTTTACACTACTTTCTGAATGTTGTACTCCATAGATATTTCCATGCCAGGCAGAGGTCTGGCACATTATATGTGGGAATTTTTTTTATTTGGTAGGAGTGGGATTTGAACTCAGGGCTTCATGCTTACAAGCAGGCACTCTACAGCTTGAGCCACACCTCCAGTCCATTTTCCTCTGGTTATTTTGGCAATGGGGTCTTTCAAACTATTTGCCAAGACTGCCCTCAAAGCACAAGACTCCTGATTTTTGGCTCCCAAGCAGTTAGGATTACAGGTGTGGTCACCGGCACCTGGCATGTGTTTAATTAATATTAATTTCCTCCCTCTGGCTCTGCAACATGTTAGTCTGCTTTTCTCTCAAATCACATCATCCTCATTATCAAATATTTTATATCTTCAGTGTCTGAACAACTCCTGGGCAAGAGTCAGATTTCATATCTTCAGTGCCTAAGAAACAGTTCAGAGTAATCCCTGGTTATCATAGAAATGGAAATAATGAAGCAAGACAGTATCATGCTGTGATTTGATATGAAATATTTATTAAACATAGCTTATAAAAGCTGATTAATTTCATAAAATTTGGGAAGTTCACTTCTTCAGAGTGCTTAAAATTCTCAACACTTCTAAAATTCTTGAAATTCTAACTCAGGTCCTTTTCAATTTCCTTAAGAATCTGAATTCTAGGAAAGTAATTTCTATGTTCAGAATATCTGAGAATAAGGGCCTATTCCCTGTACTGTACTTCCTGGGTTTTTTTCTACAGAGTAAGACCTTGCTACTGAAATCCCCTTTTCTGATTTTAATAAACTGAGAGAATAAATATCTCTTTCTTCTCAAAAGAAATCAGAAGATGATGTGAGGGCTAGACATGGGATAACCAGATACAGCAAAACGTTAAGTACACTGGATCTTAATTAAATGTTCCTTAAACCGTTGAGCTCTGGTTACTGGAGCAAGCTTGAGACCCAGCTCTTTTCTTTCCCAAAGAAAGTAAACTGAAGGAGACCTGCTGGGGGTGAGAGGATATGTTGTACTTCTGTCTCAAAAAAGCTCCCACAGTTCACTTTCTGAACTTTGGAAGGGGATTGTGTGCTCTCTACAGCACAGTGTCACACCAACATGTGAGCTGGTTAATTGCTCCCCCAAGTGTTGAAGGATCATTTTAATAACTTAAAATTTAGTTAATAACACAGAGATGCTTTTATCATATTTATTGACAATATAATTATGTAAATCAGCCTATATGCTTATGGATTTTTTAGGAAAGTTTTTTTAAAAAATTTGAGATTATAATCTGCAACTTTACAAAAATGGCTCCTTTGAATATATTTAATAAATTATATTTTTCACATCAGAAGTTTGTTCCATGTTTCAGCATTAACTAAGCACTCATTTTCAGAATTGTGTTTAGCAAAGAACTTCCTTTAAAAACTTTGAACTGTAATTGGGAATCTGAGATCAGGAGAATGGAAGTTTGGTGCCAGCTCAAGCAAATAGTTCAGGAGACCTCGTCTCAATAAATAGCTTTGTAAGATGGCACACATCTGTCATCCCAGTGTCATGGGAAGCTCAGATGAGGCCAAACATGGTTCCAGGGCAGCCCAGGCAAAAAAGTTGTGAGGACCCATCTCAACAGAAAAAAGATGGGCATGGTGACGGAGGGAAGCTTAAAGTAGGAGGATTGTGGTCCTTGTTTCCCTGGGCAAAAAGCAATCTAGCTCCAAAATAACCATAGCGAAAAGTACTAAAGGAGGTTTTGTTCACGAGTGCTAAGCCCTGTTTTCAAACCACCGTAATATATTTTTTATCTTTTGTATGTAAAAATAAACAGATAAAATTTTAAGGGTCTGTTAAAATGAGGATATTTACAATTCTTATAAGAATCAGTTATGTTTATTTAATGTAACAAATATTAAAATGAAAACTCTTTATCTTTTTAAATCAAAACTGTTTTTCCAAATATAAGGAAACATTTTTCATTGTTCTCATAACTGTACCCAAATAAGTAGGTTATTATATAGCTATGTTGTCAAATTAAGTTGAAATTACAATATCATTACATGGAAGCAGACATATTTGAATAATATGGTAATTCTGTTAGTCAAAGCGTTATGATAAGGCAAATGCATAGTGATTCTTGTTATCAATCTTTTGAAATTAGCCAAGACATTAGAAAGTAGTTAAAAATAAGTTAACATTTTTCAGAAACAGTGCTTACAATTATTGTGTTAAGCCTCAAAGCAACAAAATCTCATAAAGCATTGGCATTCACAATTGTTTTATTTTTGGTACTATCCTAAAAAAAGAAAATTTTGAATGTAAATTTCTAGTTTTACCATGTGTGAACATTGCAGCTTACCAGGCAGGTGCTGGTAGAATTTGCATAAAATGAATGAAAAACAATCATCATGGCCATGATAGGTCATATTGTCATATTTTCTTTTAATGTCTGGCTAAAAATTAGTGGGGTGAGGAGAACTAGCCAAGAGGAGAAACTGAGGAGATGGCAGATATCAATGAATGAGTTATCATTTTTTTTCAAAGCACTTTCCTGAAAACCATGCTTAATAATTCTTCTTGGGCATGGTATATTTTTGGTAGTGGAGCAATGACAATGAATTCTACATGGAGGTCAGTGTGGAGCAACAGTGGGGAATGAGGTACAGCTCAGTGCAGGGCCTCAGGGAACAGAATGGAGGCAAGAGTGTGCAGATGGCTTGTTTAGCAGTTAGGACCTCTTGTGAAACATGTCGGAAAGAGGATAAAAGCAAAATACCTTTGTCTGGGTTGCAAGGGAATAGCTAATGTTTAGGTCACATGGTGATACCAATGGTAATTTGTCATGGTTTTCACTGACTAAAACAATGCCTTTGATACCATTTAAGTGCCATTAGATGAAAAAAAGTAGAAAGATGTCCTGTCCTTTCTATCAATTTCCTTTTCTGTCTCTTCTGTTTCTTCTCCTATCTCTAAATTAGGACTCAAGTAAAAAAAGAAAAAAGAAAGAAAAACCTTAATCCCATCTAGCTGAAATATGTTGCTGTCACCTGGCACAGAGGACATTTCAGGAAATGTAAGAAGGAGAAGATTTTTGAGTTATGTATCTACTTCCAGGACTAGTTGTACAAGTAGTAAGGGAATATAGCCACCTAGGTATTGCTGATTTAGGTGCTTTGAAAACATACCTATCCTTGAAAGCATGATCCTAAAGCAACTGGATTATACTTCTCTAAATTTCAAAGCATTCCCATGTCTTTGGGTTACATTCCTCTAGAAATGGATCTTTAAAGTGCTCCTGGTTCTTAAGATGAAAATATGAGAGGGTAGAAAATATATCTTTACTGCTGTCTTTTTTCCTTTATGGATAAGCTATACTTTAATGTTTGTGCTTGGGAGGGTAAGTGTGTGTGTGTGTGTGTGTGTGTGTGTGTGTGTGCACATGCATAATTGTGGGGGTTTTTTTGGGGGTCATTGATTACATGACAGGTAGTAGCACAAGTAGAATAGAACTGTAAATCACAGTGATGAGATCTTCAAGGCAGCACACATTAATGTAAATTCTTGAACATGTCAGTTTTTCTTTTTCTCTCCTCTGGACTTGTCCTGCTAACAACACAACCAAACAAATACACAACCAATGTTCCATAGGTTTCCTGATAACAGTCTTCCCTACCATATCACATACTCCTAGATGATGCTGGTCTGGACCAATCTTA